AGAATTTCTAGGTGCAGCCAGGGGCTGGAGGGAGTCCGGTTTGGGGACCACAGGATCTCGTCTCTGCTTTTTGCAGATGATGTTGACCTGTTGGCCCCATCAAACCAGGACCTCCAGCATGCACTGGGGTGGTTTGCAGCTGAGTGTGAAATGGCTGGGATGAAAATCAGCACCTCCAAGTCCGGAAAAGGGTGGCTTGTTCCCTTCAGGTTGGTGGAGAGTTCCTGCCTCAAGTGGAGGAGTTTAAGTATCTCGGGGTCTTGTTCATGAGTGAGGGAAGGATGGAATGAGAGATTGACAGGCGGATCGGTGCAGCTTCTGCAGTAATGCGGTCGATGTACCGTGTCCATCATGGTGAAGAAGGAGCTGAGCTGTAAGGCGAAGCTCTCAATTTACTGGTCGATCTACGTTCCGACTCTCACCTATGGTCATGAGCTTTGGGCCATGACCGAAAGGGTATGATCCCAGATACAGGTGGCTGAAATGAGCTTCCTCTGCAGAGTGACCAGGCACACCCTTAGAGATAGGGTGAGGAGCTCAGTCACCCGGGAGGAGCTCAGAGTAGAACCACTGCTCCTCCAAATCAAAAAGAGCCAGCTGAAGTGGCTCGGGCATCTGTTTCGGATGCCTCCTGTGTGCCATCCTAGCTCCCTAGTCATGTTCTGGGTTCTGGGCATGTCCCACTGGGAGGAGGCCCCGGGGAAGACCCAGGACATGCTGGAGGGACTATGTCTCTCGGCTGGCCTGGGAACACCTCGGCATTTCCTCGGAGGAGCTGGAGGAAGTGTCTGGAGAGAGGGAAGTCTGGGCATCTTTGCTTAGACTGCTGCCCCCGTGACCCGGTTCCGGATAAGTGGAGGAAAATGAATGGATGGATGGATGATTTACCCATCTCTTTTATTTCCATTTACCTTTAAACCATATAAAGCTGCTGTCAGTTCAGGGCACCAAGGTAAGTGAGTGGATAAGCTGACTCTTTCATCCTTTTAATCTAGAAAGAGAGTACTGAAGTAATTTTTCCCCATAAATGTATTTTTCTTTTCATCCTTCTGGAATTCCTGTTTGTGCAGAATCAGTTTGGGGATGTTAGGGTTAGTGTACACTTCCAAAAACATTGATTACTAGCCTTTTATTCCTTGATAGATATTCACTTGAAAGGTACATAAATATTTTTTGTTCCAGATATTTTCAATCACACTGTATATGCTAGCAACATACTCTATATAACTGTGTTGTATACAAGGTTGGTCACCCCCTTGCAAACCACCCTGCTGAGCATTTACAGAGAATTGGAATGTTTTACTGGAACATAAGGTGTTAATTTTAAGAAACCTTGGGTCTGACATTATCAGTAGTGTGACTAAGAGGTTCCCAGTCATTTCCACGATAGTCTTGTCATAATTAATTTTCACATTAATATTTGCACCTTTAAAGGCATTACTATGTGTTTTATAGATCAGAATAAGGTCTGTAGTGAAATAAAATGGATACACAATGTGTCTACTGGTCTTGTTATGGAATGTTAGTTTTAAAGAACTTATTTTCCTCCTTGCACCTAAGATACCACTCGGCCTAAGAGGGACTACGAAGTGGATGGGCGAGACTACCACTTTGTGATGTCCAGAGAACAGATGGAGAAAGACATCCAAGAGCACAAGTTTATTGAGGCGGGACAGTACAATAATAATCTGTATGGAACAAGTGTCCAGTCTGTGAAATATGTGGCTGAAAGGGTGAGACTGCTTACCTGTTTGTAAAGGTTGCATGTTAGCTGAAAACATCAAGGCAAACATGCTAAATGCACATTCAGTTCTTGCAGCACAAGGACTGTACATTGTAGGGCTCATGTTTATCTGCCTTGCTGGTCTGTGATTTATACACCAAAGGAAAAGGAGAGAGAGAGACAGAGCTTCAACTGTACTTGCTGCTGTTAATAGCTTGGATTACGCTCCCACAATTTGGCTCATCACTTCTCGAGTGATAAGAAGATTTATACCTTACAGGAATTATTTTTAGATTAAAAAAATCTTGCATAGTGCAGCATTGATATAACCTCAGACATTTTAGTTAATCTCTTGTAAATTCATGCCTCTATCTCAGGGTAAACACTGTATTCTGGACGTGTCTGGAAACGCCATCAAAAGACTACAAGTAGCACAACTCTATCCCATCGCTATCCTTATAAAGCCTAAGTCCACTGATTCATTAATGTGAGTACCCACTGTATCTTTTATTATATTTCACTTGTACTGTATACTGTAGGTTTTGCTTTGATAGTACTGCTACTGTAGCATTTTTGAATACAAATTTCATATTCTTACTTTCAGAATGGGGCACCAAGTTCCTTAACATGGCAAACTAATGAGAATTTAATTAAATTTATTATGTGTGATTAAATAATTAATGTATTAATCTCTAAATCAATGAAGGAATGAATTCTCTACAACATTGATTGCTACTCTCTCAGCAAAAGACAATTATGCCCTTGGGTTTTATAAACTTTACTAAAGTGCCCAGGTCATCTTCATTTCCAGTCATTTAATGTTTAATCTTGGATACCTCTTTGCACCTATCGTTAACTCCAAATAGTATGTAACTATTTCAGAATGATAAAGCCCGAGAACATCTTCCTAAAAATGAGAGGCTAGTTCATGAATGCACTGCTGTTGGTGTTGTGCGTTTCCCCTAACCTGAATCCTAACCACAACCACTGAGGTTGGCGCTGGATAATATTGAGTTTTGAACAGGGGAAACACATTTCGACAGGGCAACAAAAAAAAAAATATATAACTGACAAATAAGCTATCTTTTGGACAATGGCAATATATCAAATATTACCAGACATGTTCAAGCCAGAATAAGAAAGTGGATGACACAATGAACCATAACAGCATTAATTAATATGAATTTCCCCTCCATAGATAGGTAAACAACAGTATATGTACCTATGAAAACAGATGTGTAACACTAAACAAGGCGGGTAACAGAGAAACCCCATATTTTAACTGGCATAATGCAGACATAGTAACTTCTCCAGCCTTACAACAATTCGCTCTAATGTTACAGAAACAAGGCATTAACAGACATGCAACATGTTTTTTTTAAACTTACCATTAAGACCCACTAAGTGGTGGAAACATCACTCCCTTTCAAGTAGCTCCAAGGTCAGCAAATCCAACCGGTGATTGCTGCATCTTCCCCCACACAATCACATACTGTCCCAAAGCAGTGAAATTAATTTGAACAGGTAACATAGCCCCGACAATAATATCATGGGTTGTTAATCCACTGGTTAACCAGCAACACATCACATGTAGCAGACACACTGGCTTCAAGCAGTCAAAACAAACAGGTACTGTGCTCCAGGGGAATCCAGCATTGATGAGCTGATCATTCACCGGCCGACTGCTTGTAGGTTAGACCTGGTCAGGTAAAACAGCAAGTCCCTGTACAGGAACATTCTCGGACATGCAGTAACCTCAGGCCCTGTATTTTTCTCCACATCCACTGATCACAATGCAGACAACAGGAGGTAAACAGCAACGAAACTACATTTAAAATGAAACTGGAGATCATGACTATTTAAGAAAATCCTTAAACCATCACGGAAGACTTTATATTGTTAGAAAAAAAGTTTGTGAGTTTGTGAGACTTGTATAAACCGAGTTGCATCTGCTTTAGGTCAAAGGTCAAAGTGTTTATTTGTCATATGCACAGTTAGGAAAGATGTTTCCCTGTACAATGAAGTTCTTTCTTTGCCATCCACACTATTGCCATAAATACAACATGAACACATTATAATGCAGAGAGAATATATGCTACATGGAAGCCGTGGAGTGGAAATACTCGGCAGTGAGTGTGCAATTATGTATGTGCAAAATGAGTATGTAAACAGTACAGATGAGGTAGATCCTGAGTCAGCTGTTTAGGAGTTTGATGGCAGTCGGAAAGAAAGTTTTTCAGTCTAGAGGTCCTGCATTTCACACTTCTGAGCCTCCGACCCGAGGGTAGGGGGGTGAACAGTCCATGCTGGGGGTGGGTGGGGGTCTTTGAGGATGGAGGCAGCTTTCCTACACAGCCTGCGGTGATAAATGCTCTGCAGAGAGGGCAGTGGAGTCCTGGTAATTTTTAGGTAACATTTTAATGATAATTCACCAGTGTAACACTGTAGTAGTCTGAAATCAAGGAAAAGTATATCATGAGCTCTTTAACCAGTCTACAACTACATTACTAAACTACTCTAATAACTTTGTGAATAACAAGAATACACTGATCAGCCATAACATTATGACTACTGGCAGGTGAAGTGAATAACACTGACTATGAGTTACAGTGGAACCTGTCAGTGTGGGGGTATATTAGGCAGCATGTGAACATTCAGTCCTCAAAGTTGATGCATTGGAAGCAGGAAAATGGGCAAGTGTAAGGATCTGAGTGACTTTGACAAAGGCCAAACTGTGATGGTGAGATGACTGGGTCAGAGCATCTCCCACACTGCAGGTCTTGGTGGGTGTTCTTGGTCTGCAGCAGTTAGTACCTACCAACAGTGTCTAAGGAAGGACAAATGGTGAACTGGAGACAGGGTCATGGACACCCACAGCTCACTGGTGATGAGGTTGACCTACAGTAGATTGAACTTTTATCTTACATTTATATTTTTCAAAAGATTAAAATTTATTTGAATGTTTTTTAAAATGGTTGAAAATGAGAAACACTGTACATTGGTCTCTATGAAGAGAAAGAGTCAGGGATTGTAGTGGTGATATCAGACCTAGAGCGGTGAGGCTGTTGAATTTGTATAAAAAAATTCTCTCTAACTGGTCCTCACCACCACAGTCTTCAGTCCTTTTACATAAGTGTTTCACTGAATTGTAGACACATCTGTGCTCTTCCTGACAGAAGAACTGTGGAAGCACATGGATTCACAGAAGATGGACAGTGAGCTGCAGAGTGACATGAGTGCCAACCAACTGCCAAATGGACTCCTGTGTAAACAGTATTAGGCAGGTGGTCATAATGTTATGGCTGATCGGTGTATTTGATGGAGATAAGATTCAAGATTTTTATTTGCCATTTATGCATAAACAGACAGTCTAGGCATATAGGAATTCTTGTGCGCATCTCTCCTTTGGAATCAGGTAAGGAGTCAAAAGCCAGAAAGAACATAAAGATAAAATATAAAGACATGCTATAGTGACAGAGGTCTAACCATAGGATGAATGAGAACAGTGATGTCAAAACCAGTAAAATTTTACCTATCATGAACGTATTCAGCCAAAATTTAGGAAAAATTATGTTGAATAAATTAAGATTTATTATAGACACATCAACATTTAACCATGGAACCAGGTAGAATAAAGACATCTTAGCCTACTGTGGTTTGGTGTGTATGGTCAGGGCCAAGGTCTGAGTAATGTGCATTCCACAGAACTTTAGAAGCCTGTGGCTCCAGAAGTCCTGCTCATTGCTTAGCAACAGCTCGGATTGCTTCGGTGACTGGGGAGTCCCTCCTCCATCCTGCCCAGAAGATAACTGGAAGTTAGGATCGGCTCTGGTTGGGTTCGCCCAAGTCTGGCTGGATGTCAGATATGCTAAGTGAATCTATACTGCCGTGCGTTGGATTGAGCGATGTGATTCGGTGGATGCAGCTGTAGTGGTTTGTACTTGGCAGTCTGCCTTCAAGTTTGGGGGAGCTTGCAAATTAAAAAAAAATTATAAGATGATGATCATGCTACAAGAGTGGCTTCTTGTTCACTTTAAATTTAAACACAGGTTTGGTTTTTTACTCAAAAATATTAAACTAGAAAATTAAAACAAAAAAGCTATAATGAAAAGTAAAAATCAGGCGCATGCACAAATAAAACAAGAATCGTGGAGATAGGCAAGTTAATGGCACGAAGTGTTGACAAAAACCCTCTTCTAGACAGGAGTTGTTAAAATTGACCTCTCTATGTCTGTGATGTGAGCCCAAGGAGGTGATGTCTCCTGGCCAGCAGGGGTTTCAGATTTTTCTGTTAGGGACAAGGGAAAATAAGGGTTTTAATTTTAAATGTAATTACTCCGTATTTCACATTATCTACCCCTTTATGCTTCATTCATTAATTAGGAATATAAGAAAAATAGAGTAAGCAATTGTATCAGTTGTGAAATTAAACTATAATACATACTGTAACATCTGGAATGTCTAAAATCTCTAATCATGCAAGATCACTTTCCTAACATGTAGGGAGTCACCAGTACTTCCTGTTTTAAACATTATAGTTTACAGTCTTATAAGAGAACAAAATGTAACAGAAATAATCATAAAAACCATGGTTAAAAGTTTCGTTTTTCATATCTCAGCTATTAACAGTCCCAGCATGAACAAAGCTGGACTGAGCATCATGAGATTCATCAGTGGTCATTATTACACAAGGTGCATGAGATTTATGGACTTTATGTCCTAAAATAAGTGCTATCTGTGAAGGGAAGGCTGTTAGGGCTGTTCTGTGTCAAACACAGTTGTAAAACAACTGCTAGGGATGTCCCTTTGAGTTGAGTTCGATGGTGGGCTGAAATAACAAATGCTCTTTTAGTCTACAGCCAGTTCCTGAGCCCAGAGATGAGCATGTGAGTACATAAGTGAATGTTAGGTGTAGTTCATTCACTGAAAATAATATAATTTCTGGTGCTGATGGAAAGCTTTATTACTTCTAAAAGCATTCCTTTGTATTCCATAAGAATCACAAGTGGTATTCTCCCCACCACCCTGACGTGGAGGGGATTAAGTCTGTTACTTATCCAAGGAATTCCTTTGTCATCTTCTCACTGCTGCATGCATATTTGCGACACTACTTACATGTTATTGTAGATTTTCTTATACATTACTTATACAACTAGTTGTAAGCAGATGTGTCAAATACAGTAGAAGACATAGTAACTCATTCTGTACCATTAGTGGAGACTGATTATTATTAATGACAATATAAAATACGTCCTCATAGTTCTTCTTAAAATTGTTCCTAAATACTGTAGTGTATAGTGTGTGAACACTTGAACTGTCATTTAACTGTATCTGCTTACAACTACATTACTGCGTAAACATTTTTACATTTTTGTATATTGTGTTTGTAAAGGTTGAACTGGTGACAAAGTAAAGTGTTATCTGGAATTGTGTTCACAGCCGTCATAATCTGAAATAACACAATCATATGTGTGATGTTTTGTGTCTTTTCCCCTTCTACAGGGATATGAATAAGAGACTGACAGAGGAACAAGCAAAGAAAACATTTGACAGGGCTACGAAGCTGGAGCAGGAGTTTGGTGAATTCTTCACAGGTATGATATTAATAAAAGCACAAAAATAAAAGATGCCCTCTGTACTCAGCTTGTCCCATGCTGTTGAACACAGCTGCACACCATACGAGCACACAAGGCAGCTGGGCTGATGATTAAACACAACTGTTTTTCATGGCTGCATGCAGATGCAAATAAATAACTAAATAAAAATACCAGCATGATTGTTGAGAAATTTTCTAGAGCCCTATCCAGACTGTCAGATAATGTTTAAGCTTACTTCTGTAATATAAAGGAAAAAATGTGTTTATGCTAGCCAGTAACTTGAAGTTTTTGTGCATTTGTGGTATGAGCCTGCATTCTTCTATTAAAATTGTCTACTTAGAGATTTGATATTTAATTTTGGCATCTAAAAATACAACCTTGTCATTGTCTGTCTTTCATTAACATATAAATCTTTTTTTTTTTCAAATTGAAATAAACTCCTAAAGCTTCTATGAGGCAAATGTTATGCGGTAATAGCAGAATTTAGTTTTTTCTGCTAGCAAGCATTTTTGTTTTCAGAGGATAGTGCAGAGGATAATTAGTGCACAGTACATTGAGCTGGTCCATGGCTTGTTTTTTGTTTTGTTGTTGTTTGCTTGTTTGTCTTCCATCAGACCTCTTAAAAATCCTTCACAGGGGCTTTAAACATGTGACAGTTGTGAAGCTTTATGAGTGAAAGGGTAGATCTCTGGCTGTAACAAAATTTTATGTACCTATAAAGTTCTATAAAACATAAATGATTCGTTTTGCTCTTTTGCAGCACTGGTTCAAGGAGACACCTTAGAGGACATTTATAACCACTGCAAACAGGTCATAGAAGAACATTCAAGACCCTATATCTGGACCCCTTCAAAGGAGAAACTATAATAGATCATTCTGGAAAGGAGTCCGGACTGCTAAAAACTAATAATAAGTAGCATATGAAAATGTATGGTGATCAGTAGTCTACATAAATAATTATTGTGAACATTGTTTCCTATTTTATTGTTTCTTTGGTTTGGTTATTTCAGTTTTCACTCAACATGAATGTTCCTGAATGTAAACCACAATGTGTTAGGAAATTGGTCTTGAAACATGAACAATTTGTATACTTGCTGATATTTATTTTAACAAAAAAAAAGAAGAAGAAATGAAATGGAAACTAAATAAATAATGTTACAGTATGTGTCCATATTGGCACTGAGTAAAATTTTAATCAGGAAACTGAAGGTGATATATACAAATGAGATGTCTTTGTTTTGCTAGCATAGTGATCAAGGAACATACATATTCCAGCTGTGACACCTGCACCCTCCCTTCATATTACAGCAAATTATCACATGAAGTTCAATATTTTATCTAATTTTGCATCTGCGCATTGCCTCAACACTCCTTTGCTTTGTCTGTTTACATTGTCATTTTGTCCTTAAATTACTGTATTTATTTCTCTGACATGACATTAAAGATGGTGTTGACCAGTCTGGAAAAACCGGCAAGAGGAAGCTCGATTTTGAAAGTAGACAGAGGAAATCCCACCCTGACTTCTCTCCAAAGCCACTCCTCCAAAACATATGCACTGCCTGACTACTACTTACAGATTTCAGGAAAATAACGATTGTGATAATTATCTGTCCTGCAGAAATACCACCATGGCGCCACTTTTCAGCCCATTTTGTTCTCTCAATTGTTGCCATTTTTTTCAAAAGCCACAGCAAAGTTAATTCTGGTTTTATTTCTTGCAACTTATTTTCAGTTGTAACTTTCTTGATTACGACATTTCCCACGCAGATCTGCTGCCCCAAACCATTGGTGGGGACCTCTGGTTCATAGCTTTAGCCCAGGCTCGTAGCCAATAAATAGCTTTAGAAGTCTGGGCTTTTCCGGTGGGGAGAAGTGAAGAGGGAGGCCCGCTCACTGTGTTAAATTCCAGCAACATTACCTGTCTTAAAGAGAAAGGCTTGACCTGTAAAAACAAGCTCCATCTGTGAACAAAAGCTGCTGTGGGTACCTTTTCTGCCATGGTTCGCTAGCTTTAGGTATCAAAACAGAGCGGTAACACATCTTCCTGAAACTGCAGTGCCTTGTGGGAGACTTCTGGCTCATGCAAGTTCATGGGCAGAGTGCAGACAAGTAGTAAATTAAGTTGACAGGCAGGTACGCCATCCAATGGTTCAGCTTGAGATGAGTAAAATCAGGCACTTTTCAGCCCTACTACTGCCACAGATGACAGATTTTTTTTTATGTTGTCAGTGCATTTAATGTATTTATTGAAAAGAGAATTTTGAGGTATGTAAGAACAAATGCTTCGGAAAAGAATTGCCAATCCTTCCTTTAAGTATGTGCAAGAGGTTTATTTTATGCGGTGGAAAATGTTAGTTTTTTTCTTAAAAGCAGACGTTCATTCAGCTGCTGCATTGACAATGATAAGTAAAGGCAGAGTCGCTATCTGTAACAGAGAAAACTATTAATTAAATTGTCAGAAGGCACAAAAGCACAGAATTATTTAATACTGCAATCATAACTGATTAAAAGCTCATTTGCAAGAGCATATTTTATCTGAGTGCTGTAGTATGTTGTGACTGTGTTAGGATGGATGGAAGAATCTGATGCTCACAGTATTTTGTAGAGTTAGAGAAGGAGGATGTTCAGAATGGTTGAATTTAATACTGATACACATTTTTGTTTTTGAAACTAACAGCAGCAGGACAGAAAGAAAGTATAGAAATGAGGTATGAAAATATTTGGTTAAAAAAGGCCAAAACAGAGAAGGCAGAACATTAAAAATAAAGTGAAAACAAATTGGACAAAATGCAGACAAATGTCATGTATTCTGTAGTAATAATGTAGAGAGAATTAAAGACTATAAAGGTGAGTTTTTCAGCTTCGCTCTGACGAGGATACTGAGTCAGATATTCTGTCCTAATAAGAAAAGTTTGATAAGAATGATTTAAATCTTTGGAAGACCCAACATTCCATCTGGTCCAGTGACCGGAGACTGCTCCCTCGTTTATATACAATAAAAGCACGGTCATTTCCCATACAGTGTTTCCCTGTCCCTGCAGTGGAGGGACAGTAACACAAAAAATGAACTATACTGAAAAGACTATCTTGAAAAATAGCAGCTTGATGTGTCTAACCCAGACTACTGAAGCCTCACATTAGTATAATATAAACATTTGGATACATTTTTGCACAGAATGGGGACTGTACTTTGTCCCCTACTACTTAGATTGCAAGTGCATTAGGAAGGCATCTCAAAGTGTAATATGAAGGGGGGGTGACTACAACAAGAAACACCTGTTTCAGTTTTCATATGGGGACCTGCCTAATGTTTTAAGACCTATCATTTAGTTGCTTAATATGAAGATGTAAATCCTTACACCGACAATGAACACAAATATCAGTTATTGCTGACCTCAGCTTAAAACACTATTATACCCTCAGGTGACTTATCATTGCATGTTTGTCATTGCCTCTGGTTCAAACATAAGATGCTGTGAGACAATTACAATCTTAATTAGGATATATTTTTGAATTATAGCCATCACAACCTGACAAGATAACAATGGCTATCCTAAATCAGCTACAGCAAGCCCAGAGGCCTGAATAAAATGATGTCACATTTTTTGCCATTTGGTTTAGAAATGGAGTAGCCCTGATGATCCTGAGCAGATGCTGGCATGATACAATATCCACTAGTTTACTCACCAGTGGCTTGCCTTGTTTGAAAGGGCATACAATATAGTACCTCGCTTTCTTAAATCAAAAAACAAAAAAGTAAATAAATAAATAATGTGGCAAATAAAAACCCATTATGTACTTAAAGCATGTGGCTGATGCATCTAACAGTGTGCTGACCTTCCTGTTCTGTTTAACTGCAATGCCACTGGATGTTGGATTTCTATGAGAATTTTAGATATGTATTCCTGCTATTTGATTTAGATAGCATGTTCACCCACCTGCTATCAAGTAAAAATAGTGCATTTAATTGTATGTGTCTAATTAATGGGACATTTCAAAAGTGCACTTATAATTCTTCACAACAAAAATAGACAAAATGATAATGAATACAACTTTTGAAGGAAATGCAACTCACATCCGCTTATTATTGTGTTAGACAGCACAGTGAAATCTGAGAAGACTGGACCCTAACCTGATTGTACTGACCACATGCTGTAGCTATAGTGGATTGACAAGAAGCACTTCAATTTCTAAAATGTGTGTACTTTTCAGAGAGGATGTTGTTTTTAAGTACAGATTACATCATATTTATATTGTCCCTTAGGTTGGTTGAGTTTTGTGGCCCATGGCAAAGGAAGTATTTTTATGCTAGTGGTTCTTTATATTATTTGCAATATGTTGCAAGACATCTATCTTTTTCTTTTGTGCAAATTTTCCATAACATATTCTTCACCACTTGCCTTAACAGAGGTTTACTCTATATCAAATATGATAGCTTACAAATATACTTTTCTTTTGAGAATAAAATTAGACAATAAAAACAATTTTATTTGGTCATCCTTTACATGTACACTTTTAGTGAAAGAAGGCTGAAACAAATCTAGGGTATAGGGTAATTTATCTGTCATTACGCTGAGGGTGTTACCTTGTACTGATAAAGTTAAGTGCTTATTTTTTAATTTTATGTTAAAAATTTGCTTGTTTGGACACAAGAAATACTTTAAAATTGTGTATGACTAGACATATCAATGTTTTGACCCTTGTTTTTGAAAAGGTGTTCCTGACCAGCAATATGATGACATGTAACTGAAAATATAAATTCCTATATGGGCTTGATACTAATGCTAAACATAATACAGTACTTCCAAAAGTCATTGTGAACGTGCCAGTGGAGTTTGTTGTGTGGAAATGTAAGGGATGTCTGACCTATGCATGTTGCAACAGTCTTTTGTGTTCTGTGGATTTGCAATATTCAACACAAATGAAACATCGAGTTATTATGCTCTTTTCAGACATGATCAAACTGCAGATTTGAATCATTCAATCAGACATGTCTATTTTAAATCCAAATAAAATCACTGTTGTAAAATGTGGTGTCCAAGCTATATGTTTTGGTTAATGCAGTTAGAATATCATCTTTTCAGTATTGTCAGAATTATACTCAAATTCACAAACTTGCAATTCTTATTTTCTTGTTCTTAGCATTAACATCTGTCTAAATCTGTGTTAGTGAGCACTTCTCCTTTGCTGAGATAATCCATCCACCTCACAGGTGTGGCATATCCAGATGCTGATTGGACAGCATGATTATTGCACACGTGTGCCTTAGGCTGGCCACAATAAAAAGCATCACATGCTTGAAATACAACAATTTTTTTGAAAAGATGTCAATCATTCTGTCGGGTCCGGGTTTTGGAGTTCTGTGTTGGATGTATCAGACTTGTCTTTTTTGCCTCAGCTTTTTGTCTTGTTCCAATGCAAACAAAAGGAACAAGCACCAGAATACTGCAGAATTTGTGGGATACCAATGGGCACAAAACTTCAGGCAGAGTGCCACAAGCAGGAAACAACTTCAGGCAGAGTGCCACAAGCAGGAAACTATTTGGAGTACCAGGGGCATGGAGGTCTGGCCAGCTGGGTTTGAGGAGTGCAGCCAGGGGAGAGGTCGGATGCGCAGGTTCAGCCAGTGCGCTGCGGGGTCTGCGCAGGTGTGGAGGAGAGGAGCCGGAGCCCAGACCGGTTTCGTTTGAGGCCGGGCTTGGGCCGGGGCCAGCTGGAGCACCAAACCCGTTGAACCCGGGGTCTTAGGCGGGTCTAGGAGCATGTTTGCTGGGCAGGGAGGCCAGGGGTGCGGCTGCATTTTGGATTAACTGGAGGCCTTTTAGGGAATTATTGGGACATCCTGATAGTAAAGAGTTACAGTAGTCCAGCCTGGAAGTAACAAATACATGGATCAGTTTTTCAGCATCACTTTGAGACAGGATGCTCCTGATTTTTGCAGGTGAAAGAAATGGGTTAGGGGCTAGGGTTTCGTAATTGCAAATTAATGGAAATGGCCGTCGCCCATATTAC